AGAGATGGTATATAGATGTATTACACTTTTTTTTTTTTTAATTATTTTTTAAGCGTAGCTTAGATGTGGCACAAGGCAGAAAGTATGGGACACCCAGTGAGGATCGAACTCACTACTCAGTCGTAATTGATTTAGCGAGATAAGCTTGCTAACCATTACACCACATTAGTTGGAAGCTTACTATGCAAATAAAAACTATCACTCATTCTTTCTACTAGATCTTGCTCCTTTTTTGGTTTTTCTCCAAGCTGAAGGGGTGACCTCGGCTGCAATTGTTTTGAAGATATTGAAAATATGAAGGAAGCTGTGTCAGTGGTCCTGGGCACCTTCACTTTGGACAACTTCCATGGGGCCTTCACAAAAGTGGCCTGGTGTGTGCTACAATATTAGAGTTACGCACTTCTTTGAAATTAATAAATGTCTCTCCTAAAAGAATTGAAAACTTCTGGAACGCCCCTCGTCTAAGTGAGGGTGCGCCAGTAATTTGGTTACAATTTTTTAGCAGACCGTAAATCGAAGACGAACTAACGTAATGTCACTGAACAGGAGTCATATATTAATACGCTCTTTTCTCTTCCAGGACGCTCGAAAGCATTGGCACGGGAGCTTCTAAACTAACAATGGAAAAAAAAAAGACACGACGCGCTCGCTGTACTAACGTTCAAACATAGTGACTCGGAGATAGCGAGCTTCTTCAAAGTTGATCATGAGGTACGACGGACGTCTGTATGCGGACTGAATGGAGGTGTCCAGTATAATCCACGTCACGTTTCTATCGTCGGTGATGGCTCTGGGGGATCGGGTGCCTCGAAGGTCATCAAAGGTCGTCCGAATTCATTTAGCATTACCACGGGGAAAGCGCTTTTGAGTAACTCAGAGTAGGTGGAATAAGTAAAAGAAAGCATTGTGTGGACAATTTGTGAAAGCAACAGGATTGATTCATTCATTTTTTACGGCTTATCAACCCTTTGAAGGTTAAAGCTAAAAATATTAGATTTTTTTAGATAATAATTATTTAGCGATACTAATTAACATATAACTGTAGGGAGAAGGGGTGATGGATTCATGCCTTTCCCAAGGCTATTTGCACGTATGTGAATATAACGAACCCAACTAGATTTGAAACTCGTCTCTCTGATTATCCATTACACCACCCACACATCCGAGCTTACACCACCTGCTATTCCCAAGCGATTACCCATATAGCTACTGACCAGATTCGACGTTGCTTAACTTTTGTGATCGTTCGGGAATTGGCTTTTCAACGTGATATGGCCGAAAACCATAGAACACGCACATCCTAGGTTGCAATACCTGGTATTTCTAAGCGGTTACCCATTTAGGTACTGACCAGGCTCGATGTTGCTTAGTTTTGACGATCATGCGGGAATTGGTGTTTCAACGTGACGTGGCCCTAAGCAAAGCAACAGAATAAACTAGAGGCAAAGTAACATGGGAATTGATTGAAAAGGTAAATAAAAAAGGACACTGAAAGCCCTCTAATCTAAACTCAAGATCAAACCCTGAAAGGAAAGTATTTCACCTGGTCTTTGCTCTCCTCTGCAAAGGAGTGGCTAGCAGGGAATTTTCAAAAACATACCCCTACCCAAAATGGGATCTCCCATCTCTTGAGTTTCGGCTTCACTAGATTCATTCATCTGGGGCGTCATAACACTAAAAACTCGTTGAAGGCCGCTAAGTGATTGCCAACATGAAACAGAATCACATAATCTGGACATGCACTCGTCCTAGGTATATGACGGTAAACTTACACCCGACAGCAAGGCTTCTGATTCTCTTCATTGCTGTTGTTCCCAGGTCTACCCTGACCCTCGGTGCCAGCACCTGTTAAGGTCCCAGCTATGGGCAAATAGTGAACCCCCAAATAAAAATCAAGAGTACATTTTTATAATAAAATGAGCAACAATTCCTTTTTTTAACAAAATGACAATCAATAAATATAAAAATAAATTTTTACAATAAAATTGCCAACAATATATTTTATGATCTACAAACCACACATCTAAAAAAAAACAAAAAAACATAACTTTACTCTGAAAGTAGAAAAGTATGTACAAAATATCTGTAATTGAAATCATAAAATTGTGTTCAAAATATGTAGATTCCGGAATTAAATAACCCATGGGAGTATTGATATGCCGCTAAACAAAATCAAGCAAGAAATCAAGCCAGATCTGCAGTCGCTTCTGAGGCCATATCGAGGTCGACCTCTAAACGGCGTGCAATCTAATCTAATGGAAATCGTGTCCGTACGCAATCCCTTAAAAATGATTCCCTTAAAAACTTCAGAATTAATTCTGGTCGCCCTTTCTGTTTGGGTGAAACGCCAATCAGTTGTTAAATAGGGCAAGGAACAGCTGTTAAATTCTAACGCATCCAAAACGAAACTGCAGCCTTTTAATCATCATACAGAACCACTTTTCACTGTGTTGTGCCAGACAATTTTCCCCGCCATAATCCATCTTGCACATTTATAAATCTACCATTCGTCTGTACATTGAAGATTGCTGCATATCTGGTATTGTGCTCCTGGTATATATCTTGAGATTCTTGACAAAATTCAAAGAAAGGTCTATAATTTTATAGGTCCTGACCTGGCATCTCGGATTCAGTCACTTTCACACTTCTGTGGCCTGGCTTCCCTAAATCTTTTCTATAAATATTTCCATGGCAGTTGTTCTAATGAGCTTTCCTCCTTTTGCTTTGTAAATATTAATTGGGGTTCGATTTTTAAATTGTTGTTTTATTCCTCCCTCCCAAGAGACAATGAATTGTAGATATGAGGACTAGTTAGGATTTTCATAGAGACAATGAGGTATTACGGTGGGTGTAGTAAGAAATATAAGTAAGAATGTGCTGTTTTAGTGTTAGAAATATTGTGGTCAGTGTTTGTGGCTAGCTATGTTTAAATGTTAAGACAGATAAATACCGTCCTTTTCCCCATTCCCCGTTTTGGCCTTGATTCACACTTTGTATTTTTTATAATAAATATCGCTTTCCTCCTTGGTACACCGGTCGCAAGAATTTAAGCGTATTACTCGATTGGCAATTAGGTCTCACCATTTTACTGTTGAAATAGCTAGATACAACCGCAAGTTCTATTCAAATAGGTTTCTTTTCTTGCACTTCTCGCATGTGGAACTTTCACTTTCTCCATTTTCTGCTTCCTTGCCATCTACAATCTTCAAAAATTTGAATACAACGTCAATCGCCATCTTCTGACCCCTAAAATCCTGTTCTTTTTATTGTCCTTTTCCCCTCATAAATATCTTCTTCTCTTTCACTTTCAATAGCACCTGGTATCTTAGTAGCATTATCGCCTTACTTGGAGGGAAATTATATAAAAAAAAACCCCAAAAAACAAATTGTATGTAAATGCCTGTATTTAAATCATCTTTGGTGCAATTTATCGACAGAAATGTTTTCAACTAACACATGCAGAAACAACATAGTCATATCTTTCTTTTCTCGAACCAGTAGACTTCCTGTAGATTACAGGGCCACAGCCTCACCACACCAGGTGGTGGTGCTGTTGTTTTAGTAGCGAGCAGGTTTCAAGTCATGAAGTTGCTACTCCAATGCCCTAATGGTTTTGAATTTAGGGTTGTTTATCTAGACGACTTGCCTATCAAGTTTTGAGTCCGGTCTACCCTGTGATTTTAAGAGATGGAATCGTATATTTACCAAGGCTATTTGGGCGAAAGGCCGCGACCGGAATTTGAACCCACTTTAATGATCCCATTTTCCTCGACGAAAATCGTTACACTGCGCGCGCGTCCTTACAGAATAATATGGAAAGCGGTACATATTTTCAAGCAAGAACTTCTAGTCTCTATTGTATTCCACATTTTTTACCCTGATAAATCAGAAACTGACTGAGAATTTTTACAAAATATGGTCTTCTATATTATTTACATTATTCGAACTAAGATCTAGTGACAGGACCCAAGGAGTTGTGAGTTCAATACCTGGTTAAGGCAGTGGAGACCTTGGAGAGGTGAATTTACAGGATATAACTGATAACTGACATCCATTAGACATAGCACGTAGAACTAGAACAATATACCTCAGCGAGCGAAATAAAGGGTTCAATTCGACATTCCAACCACCTGAAGAAGGCCGGAGCGTACAACGGCCGAAACGCTGTGATAAATATGGCAACAAGGATGAGGACAATAGTCCAAATAATGTAAGTAGTGTACATAATACCTCATCTCAGAAATATAGAGAGATACTGATAGTCTTCGATCTCTCCCGATTTGAATTCGCTGGATTATTACTACTATGACTTTTAATGTTCTTAATTTTTCAGGTTTCAAATTTATCTGATCTACTTGCTTATCTTCTAATATATCTACCCCCAGACTCAAAAATCTTTTGACGAAGACGTTTTTGATCGTCTCCGTCATTCTTACCCAACTCCGGGTAGGTCTTGCGAACTGTCAAGTCCAGAATCACCTCCGCATATCGAGGTCTTCTGTTTGTATATAGTAGCGAGATTTTATCCGTCGTCGGCTTGCTAGGCCTGTCATGTAGCAACTGATATTCAACAGCTGTTAACCAGAGTTAACCAGATATTCAACAGCTGTTAACCAGAGTTAACTAGAACGAGAACTGGTATTTCACTGTGATATGGCCGTAAACTGAACGGAAATTTCGGTAAGCACATCCACACAAATGTAGAAAGATTTTGAATGAACCTAGAGAAAAGGATATTTAAAAAAAATTACTAGTTTCAATAGATTTTAGTTGCTTAATATATTACATTCTATGGTTTCGTGTCGTACAAATCTGGAGTAAGATAAAGCGAGCTTTAAATCATCATCCTTGAATACTTGGCCGTTCAGGAACCGGGATGATGAATTTGACGCTAAACCATTGCCTCCGAATAGAGCTTGCAAGGGAGAACAGTTTATTAATGATAGACTGTCTTTGCTCGACGATGTGTGGAAAGATATCCGTATGTTGAGAAAGTAATCATGTCGGCTTGCACACTGCATAAATCTAACAACCCCCGAAAAGCCGTCTGCCTCCCGCTTCAAGCCGCCCGAGATGGAATCAGATACAAATCGAAGTGGCTTAGCCAGAGTAAGGTGAGAGATTCAGAATGTTTTGACGGTTAATCCAATCGTCATAGAGGATTTGTTTGCATTTGGGTTAACTGTTTGCTGATCCCGTCGCCTTCTCTTCAAAGAGGAAACGAATGATTGACTCAAATTTATAAACGTTTCCCCGAACACCTTCCAAACGCCTCTTCTTTCTTTCTTTCTTTCTTTCTTTCTTTCTTTCTTTCTTTCTTTCTTTCTTTCTTGTTTTTATTGTTGTTGTAGTTTCTATTTTTCCACACCCTTTCCTCCTCCTCCTCCTCCTTCTTCTTCTTCTTCTTCTTCTTCTTCTTCTTCTTCTTCTTCTTCTATCCTTTTTTACACATTCACCGAATAACGTTTCCCGAAACCCGACAAACAGCCATCTTTTCTGGATGAGCGGGCGGGGTAACGGATAAAGGCTGGCCATTGGCAATGGGAGAGAGAGCCGAGTTTCCACTTCCAATCGGGTTTGTTATATTCACTTACGCGCAAATACCCTTGGGAAAAGGTATCAATCCACCTCTTCTCTCTCCGGATGTGGGTTAATTAGTAAGACATTTTTTTAAGTACTTCTCCCCAAGCAAGGCGGAAGTGCTACGAGCACGCAAGGGTTTACAGAGAGTGGGAGAGAGAGTAAAGAGACGTGATAGAGGAAAGGATGAAGAGAAGGACAGAGAATAGATCAGGGCATCTGGAGATATCGATTGACATTACATTTGAATAGTTGGAGATTATAGCTATCAGGGAAACAAGTAATAGGAAGGGAATTCCGCAGACGGGAAGTGCGAGACATGAAGCCATTGGAGTAGAATAGACGGCTACATCTAACCGTTTCGACAGTAAAAGGGTGGGACCGAGATGCCAGCCTAGTTGCACGTTTAAATTCACGCAGTTCGGGAACTAGCGAAAGAAGCTCGTCGGAGCAGATACCGTGAAAGTATTTGTAGAAAAGACCGAGGGAGGCGACGGCACGTCTGTGAGAGAGCGACTGTAGACGAGATGCCAGATCAGGGCCAGTCACACTGCATATCCGTCTCTGGATTTTCTCGAGGAACTTAAGACGAACAGCGGGGGCACCAGAACATATATGGCAGCAGTATTCCATGCAACTTGTAACACTAAATCATTATCTCTAAAAATTTCTTACAATCTAAAAGTATTTCTAGTTTTATTTTATATAAGGTTGAGAAGGACACTTTTGAGAATTTGGTATTTTGAGAATACCATGGACGGAGCATGTGAGCAATGAGGAAGTTTTAAGGAAAATGGAAACAAAAAAGACACGTATACTTAGAATCAGAAAGCGACAAGCATCAGAGATGTGGTTCTACAGAGGAAGGCTGAGAATAACATGGATGTAGCATGTGTGCAATGAGGAAGTTTTAAGAAAAATGAAAACAAAAAGGACACTTATACTTAGAATCAGAAAGAGACACGCATCAGAGATATGGTTCTACAGAAGAAGGCTGAGAATACCATGGACAGAGCATGTGAGCAATGAGAAAGTTTTAAGGAAAATGGAAACAAAAAGGACGCATATACTTAGAATCAGAAAGAGACAAGCATCAGAGATGTGGTTCTAAATATTCAGAAAGAAATAATTGAAATTGCTGGGAATATTTATTTAGAAATGGGGCATTCACAGGACATACTTGAAGGCAAGAATAACAGGCGAAATCAACAAATATCCTACCTAACAAGACTGTGTAAACGGTTGGCTGAACTGGGAGTACGAATTATAGGAAGATAAACCTTACTGAGAGCTACATACGACAGGAAGTCGTGAAGAGCCATGATCACTCACGTTCTGAAGTGACACGATACATAGAAGGAAGAAAAATCCTGATAATCAACGACAGAAGATCTGAAGTTTTATCCAGACATTTTTGGATGAGGTATTTTTACTTAGGAGCGCAAGTTTTCAATGTTCGACAAAAAATGTACAAGACAACATTTAACATGTTTATTTTCAAGGTATCATATCCACTTGAACGATTGGTGAAACAATGTCTTCTGAGTGGGAACAAATAATTTACTCATATTTATAAACGTTTTTTTTTACACGTTTTTTGTTTCTTTTTCTTTCTCATTGACGTTGACAATGATTTTACAGACGTTTTTACTGAAGACGGCCATATAAGATCTGAGGTTCATTGTTTTGAATTCTGGCTTTGCCATATTTACTTACTAAGGTCAGTTGTTGAGGATCGAATACAGGTAAAAAAAAGAAGAAACGAATTAATGTACTAATGACATTTATTTTCCCATTTTCTTTTAATTCATACTACCTCATTTACGCCTATAAAACTATTGGATTTTATTTAAATGAATTGAAAATGGCTTTACTATGAAAATGCATTGTACATGATTATAGTAAAAATGACTGTAAATAGTTTTACTATGAAAATGGTATTGCTATAAAAATCTATTTCGAATGATTTTACTGTGAAAATGAATTGCAATTGATTTGGCTATGATAATGTATTTCAAATGATTTTTACTATGAAAATGCATTGGAAGTCAATTTACCATGAAAATGCGTTAGAAATGATTTTGCTTTGAAAATGAACAGTAAATGTCTTTACTTTGAAAATACATGCAAATGATTTTACTATGAAAATTATTTGCAAATAATTTTACCAAGAAAATACATTAGAATCAGAAAGAGACAAGCATCAGAGATGTGGTTCTATAGAAGAAGGCTGAGAATACCATGGACGGAGCATGTGAGCAATGAGGAAGTTTTAAGGAAAATAAAAACAAAAAGGACAATTATACTTAGAATCAGAAAGAGACAAGCATCAGAGATGTGGTTCTATAGAAGAAGGCTGAGAATACCATGAATAGAGCATGTGTGCAACGAGGAACGGACACTTATACTTAGAATCAGAAAGAGACAAGTATCAGAGAAACAATTTTACTATGAAAATACATTGTAAACAATTTTCCTACGAAAATGCATAGCAAAATTTTGATTAAGAAAATACATTGCAAATGATTTTATTAAGAAGATAGATTGCAAATGATTTTACTATGAAAATACATTGCAAATGATTTACCAAGAAAATATATTGCAAACAATTTTACTATGGAAATGGTTTACAGATGACTTTACTATGTAAATTTCATTAAAAAAAAGACTTTACTATGAAAATAAATTGCAAATGAATTTAGGTTAGGTTGGCTGATTTTATGACATGCTAACCTTTTTCGTGTTATTTAATGTCAAATTTTGTATGAGTCCCCCAATGAGGATAGAAGTTACGACACAGTAACAATAAACTAGGAACAGGGAGAGAAGAAATGTATATCTCGTGTCGCACTCGCTGTCGGTCAATGGATGGCAAATTTTCCGCATAAGGAAAAGGATACCACTTTCTTTCTTTTTATGTGCCATGTCCTTTCAAGACGTAGGCGATTATGGCTCTCCACATCCTTCTATCCCTTACAGCTCTCAGCAAGTTCCTTCCCTCTGCTACCTCCCCCAGACCACGTTCTGTCACCCACTTGCTTGTTCTCCAGGTATGTCATGCGTTGATTTCCCGTGTCTCTCTTTCCTTCTATTGGACCCGTGAGTATTAGATTCTCTAGGCCTTCCTTCCTCATTATGTATCCCAGAAACTTCAGCTGACTCTTTCTGTTAAGCATAAGCCTTCTCCTTATTTGCAACCTCTCTAAGATCTCATTGTTGCTCACATGCTCCGTCCATAATATCCTTAGCATCCTACTGTAGAGCCACATCTCCGTCGCCTCGAGTCTCTTCTTCCTCTTTGAGGGAATCGTCCAAAATTTGCTGTCGTATGAGGAGAACTGATACTACATTTGGATGGATGATCCCGTAAGGAAGAAAAGTGGAAATAGAGTAACACTGGCTACTCGGTGAATGGATGTTGGATTTTTCCTAAGGAAGCGGTTAATTATCGTACCCTGTCACCAATTCAGACAGATAAAAGTTGCCATGACAGTTGGGATATGAAAACTGACTAGAGTTATCTCCCCTTTCAGATCTCGTCACTGGATAGTCGACGCAAATTTATTGGCAATACTAAAGTCCTTCATTGCTGGTCGCCACTAAGCGTGCAATATTAAAACGATGATTTATGCCTCATTTACCCAAGGGACACCATAACAATATTCATGAGATTAAATATGCATGTCCTTTTGTAAAGTAATGTCTTCGAAAATGTTTCTGTTGGCACGCTTTAGCAGACATCGGAATAATGGGCACAAATCAATTGCTGTTATTTATCTTAGTCAATTCCTATCTATCTATCTATCTATCTATCTATCTATCTATCTATCTATCTATCTATCTCAGTCTATTTCTATCTATCTATCTATCTATCTATCTATCTATCTCTCTATCTCGGTCTATTCATATCTATCTATCTATCTCAGTCTATTTCTATCTATCTATCTATCTATCTATCTATCTATCTATCTATCTATCTATCTATCTATCTATCTATCTATCTATCTATCTATCTATCTCGGATTGTTCTTTCTCCCTCCCTTTCTCAATCTGTTATCTATCAATCTATTTTACGATTTTTTTCTTTTTCAGTCTTCCTTTCTCAATCTCATTATATCTTGCTCTCTCTTTATATATATATGTATGTGTGTGTGTATGTTTATTATCTCTCTTTCTCTTTCTGTCCATTATTTATTAATCTATCCTGTGTTCTTTTTCTCTTCTGAGTCCATTATAAATCACTTTATTCTGCGTTGTACTTTCTCCCTGTCTCAGTCCACTCCCTGTCACCATCCCACTCTCTATCTGTCATGTATTTCCCCCCCCCCTCTCTCTCTCTCTCTCTCTCGCACCCTCTTTATCACTCTCTCTGATATTCTGTCTACTTTGAGTTGTTCTCCCTCGCTGTTTCCCAGTTCATTCTCTGATTCCTCTATTTCTCCCTGTACCGCTGAGTCTTTTTCTCTCACCCAGTCTCTCTCTGCACACACACACACACACACACACACACACACACACACACACACACACACACACACACACACACACAGTATCTTCAATATTTCCGATACTCAGTCTTCTCTTTCACTTTCACTTTCATTTCCTGTAACACCTCGTGCACTAGTGGCATTACTGCCTTGCTTGGGGTGAAATGATTTTAAAAAAACGATAGGGCCAGATGCCATAGAGCAACTAGTATCGTAGAATTTGTTTGGATATTCCGCTGTTGTCAAGTCGAATTAAATGGCGTGCCCAGCGAACTGCGATGCTGACTGCATTGGCTTTTTCAACCTTTTTCTTATCTCTCTCTCACACTCACTATATATATATATATATATATATATATATATATATATATATATATATAAATTCCATATGAATTCTGTGGACAAGACAGATTGGTATAAAATGACAATTGGAAAAAATCTTAGATACGGTAATTTACATTAACCAGAAAAAGGCTTAGACAGAAGCGTCTATATTTTTAAATTTGGATTTTTTAATGTAACTATAACAACAAAAACATTTCGATTTCATTTTTTGCCTTGAAAAAGTCGGAAAACGAAACGCGTCCACAAAATCTAAGCTTTTTTCCAATTGTCATTTATACCATATATATATATATATATATATATATATATATATATATATATATATATATAAACAAGAACAGACGGTGATATTTAGATATACTTTAGACCTAAACAGACTGATAGAGATAGATAACTGTGCCTGATAGGAAGAGATTTTGAGTATGAATTGTACATACATACATACATACATACAGACACAAACACACGCACACACACACACACACACACACACACACACACACACACACACACACACACACACACACATACATATATATATATAAACATAAAGAGCCAGGCAAACCTAACTAGGTTTCACCTAAACGGATCGTCAGGGAAATTTCATGTTCTTAGTTCTTTCTTTTTTTATTCCTCATTTTTCCTTGGGTACTGGTTTGTTCTACTACAAGCCAACATACCCAAGGTTTTTCCAAGCGTATACTACCATTTATATATATATATATATATATATATATATTGTTGTAGCATACCTACGGATGTATATACCCGTTCATATAAATACAGTGGTAAATACTGTATGTTGGTCTGCAGTTGGAGATTCATTGTGGAATTCACTTGACTCACTTCTAGTAGTGGACTACTACTTCTACGCGCCGCTGGCGAATCTTATATGTGTTGTTATGGTCCTAAGTATTATCGTTCATTACCAATCTTCGTGTGATTATTCTATTCAGTAACCTAGGTTAGATTACAACATATAGTGACACATACTCCATACACTCACGCGTACATAAACACACCCACACACAAACACATACACCCATATACTTTTATATATAAACAAAGAGAAAAATAGACTTCACCCCCAAAACTAGCGCATAAATTAATTTTATGCAAAATAAAAATAACGAATATGAAAAAATCTGCAGTCAATTGCTGACATCTCCTGACGAGTGGATAGAATGATTACACACATTTTCGTCTACGAAAGTCTAGAGTCGAGGTGTTGAATATAAGATCAATCAGCTAAATGTCAAATTTTATTTTATAAATATATATATATATATATATATATATATATATATATATATATATATATATATATATATATTCCAATTAAAAAAAAAAAAAAAATACGAAGGGTAAACTGCAAACATTTTGGTTGTAATGTGGATTTTTAAAAAATATATATTATGCTTTATTTTCCATAATTTTGCAACCAGTCTTAATTGTTTTATTACCCTTCAAGCAGAAGAACATTCTCACTGCCAGTTCAAGAAAGACATTGAGAACATTTAACATCGAAAAACATAAGGAAAATAAATTCATTTTAATAATATGTGGAGATATCCACTCTTTGCCTGAAGAAGGTCGCGGGAACTGAAACTTGTGTTGCAAAATTATGGAAAATAAAGCATAATATATATATTTTTTTAAAAATCCACATTACAACCAAGAACATTTGCGGTTTCTCTTTTCTTTTTATATATGCACTCGTGGGAACAACTATACCCTCTTCTCTCTCTCTCTCTCTCTCTCTATATATATATATATATATATATATATATATATATATATATAGTCAGTAAAAATAACGTTTGGATTAATATGATTGATTAGAAATAAAAATCTATTAATTTTTTAGAAGTTACCTGGTTTCCATAAATACGAAACTGAGCAGATATGGGCGGCCGAGAAAAATCTTAATGAGAAGATGCGTATTAAGGCAAACAGAACTTCGCTTGGCTGTGAGGCTCTTCATAGTCGGAAGCACGCCGGACCAAATGGCAGTTTCTCATATAAAGGAGGAGACAGGTTCTAATCTTACTGGCGAGCACATTTCCTTTAATAAATTTTCTCGAGTGCACAGGCCGGTAGACGAAATGGACACTTTATATATATATATATATATATATATATATATATATATATTCTCAAAGAACTAAAAATAACATACACTTAATACACACATCCCATTCCCAGCAACCAATAAAACTGAAAATGACCAAGAACAGTATTCTTAATGACAGTAATCTCCCATCCTCTATCTTAAGAACAACTTGAAAGAGGCCGTTTGACCAACACAAGGACTGACCAAAATTATCGATAAAAAGTAAATGAAAACTACTGATAAATTTCACTTTCTTCAGAGACAGTCATTCACTCATGTAGTTCACAAGCAGAGAATTTTTCTCTCCTGATGATGGCCATGCTGGCTGAAACTAGTCGAGGAACCTAACTGAAATAACGAAACAGAAAATATTAATATACAACCTAGTGAAAATTTTAATTTTTGAATATTTTTTATTGTTCAAAACATCTATCTATCTATCTATCTATCTATCTATATATATATATATATATATATATATATATGTGTGTGTGTGTGTGTGTGTGTGTGTGTGTGTGTGTGTGTGTGTGTGCAGAAAAATAGGAACGAACACGTTAGGTAAATAATCCGGAGTTCTTTAGTATTTTTGTTTTTATTTTTAAAAACAGTGCTCCATACAGAAGTAGAGCTTAAATTATAATTATTTTTTAAAAAAATATGATTCCTTCGCTACATAAGAGTTCTCATGTTTCAAAACTTTTCGCTTGAGGATGAAACAGGGCTTGGTACTTTAATTCAATTTCATTTTGATAATTATATTGAGGTTTTCGGCTCTCGTTTTTGAAACATGAGAACTCTTATGTAGCGAAGGAATCATATTTTTAAAAAATAATTATATATATATATATATATATATATATATATATATATGTATATATATATATATATATAATGAAAGAGAGACGGATAGAAAATGGAGAAAGAGTTCGAGATAGATAAATAGATGGGATGATAATGGAAAGGAAAAATCAATAGAAAGAATCTTGTAAAAAATGAATGGCGAAAGCTCTCACGACTTTTGTAGATTTTCGTAGTTGAAACACGAGCAAAAAATAGTCGAATGCTTTTAACTATCGAAAGCGCTGCGCCAATCATATTATTTCATTAAGAAGCCCGATTTCACAACCAACGCCAGAATAACGTTTAATACCGAGAGAATAAAAAACAAGGATAATAAAAGCAGATAATTAATAATTAAAACAGATGATTTCAGCAGATTCCACCAAAGTTAGATGGAAATTCCCCTGCACGTTTTTAATTCGTGTACTGGTTTGCCATTTATCTTCCAGGGGCCTGAATGCTACAAGAAATTCAACAAAACGCACAACACGTACACGCACATGCAAGGTAGTCACGTCACTTCACGGACCGTAGGGGTTCCATAGACACTGCAGGTCAATATAATCTCAAGGGGCTCAAACCTCTTCAGGCTGCTTTTTAATACAGATTGCCCTATACTGCTTGCCAATTCAAGCCAAGAGAGCCGAGTTAGCTTTAGTATTTAACCCATAGTAGGAGCAACAGGTGTGCTGCAGCCATAGAAACGGTATTGTGTCTAGGACCAGTTGGCCTTACAAAGCCTATCAAATTTAGAATTTTCCCTTTAGACCGTTTGCTACCGCAAGGCTAGAAGAACTCAGTCAACGCTGCTATTTAATCCTTAGCTAGTGGGGCAGGAGTGATAGATTCATGACTTTCTTAAGTATGTTTTTGCCAAAATAAACGTAAGGGCTTCGGGCGGAATTAGTTTTCTGTGTGTCGATCTCTCTATCCCATGATGCACATCCGGTCAAATAGATGTTTATAGAAAACTGGGTTTACTGATCGCATTATGCCCCGGATAATTATAGTTGTAGACATCTGACGATGTGACAGGGAGCACTCCTATCACACATCCATACAAACAGACATATCGTACCAGACTGGCAGCAAGGTCTCATCAATTTGCTTAGAGGTAACCGTAAGTTCTATGCTAACAGTTTCTCCTCTCGCTTGTAAAACTCTATTCTAGCTCTATGCTTCCTGGCCAACTTTGTTCTGCAAAAATTTAAATGCAAGGTCAATCGCTATCTACTGTCCTCCTGATGACCCTTTTGTCTTCCCGCTTATTAATGTTTCTGTCCCCAATTCTTCCACACCTTGAATCCCATGGTGTCTTAGTGGCTTTACTCCCTTGCATAGCGTGATACCGATTAAGAAAAGAAGAAAAGTGGATGTGCGTGTGTGTGTATGCAAATATTTGTGCAAATGAAAGAGATTTTGTATATATATATATATATATATATATATATATATATATATATAGAGAGAGAGAGAGAGAGGTGTTTATGTGAGTTTGTGACCCTGGGACAAGTCAAATCAATACAACTAAATATGTTAGCTCTATCACTGATATTGAGCGCTTTACAAAAAATACCGTGCATATATA